TTACACCATTTTTTAGGATTCATGGACAAAATTCCATCATACTTGAGTTAAGGATACATTATCACCTCACAAAAATCCTTATGGGTAAATTTTCACTTTAACCCTTCTAAATTCCATCAAAGTTGAGATCCACACACTATATTATAAGTTGTTAAGTCTTATTTATTATTTTATTTCACTTTATCTTTAAAATATATTGATGACTAACCTTCTATCTATTTTGTTTCAATTGTAAATATTTAATTTCTATTTTGAAAACATGCATCCTCCCAAATATTAAGTAATTGTTAAATATTACTATTAAAAAAATTATAAATGGTATTTATATTTTTGTCAGTGTATTCATATCAATTCATATATTCATTGCGTAAATAAAATGTCACAATTCTATGTGTATGGAATAAAAATAATTTATGTATATTTGTTTTTGTCATTCCATTGATGATGAGGAGGATATATGAATTGGGCTTGTCCTTTTACACAACTCGTTAATATGGCCAAAGAGAAAAGAAAGTCATGAATGGTGACAATTCATATTTTATACTTAATTTTCCTAGTCAAGACAGTCAATATATGTTCTGGAAAAAATTACACAATGATATACATTCTTGGTTTAAAGGACAAAAATGCTGAGCAACTCTTTTTCTAGGAGCACTCAGCATCCTTAAGTGAATAAAGGTATACATATGATTACCCATGGACTTGTTTTAATGAGAGCAACAATCCCCAATCTATGAAATTTTCTTGATGTCCACTAACACTAACCGCTGAAAAAAAACCAACATAAGGTGTAAAAGTATCCAGAAACTTTTTCTCCAAGAGCTTCTAGTATCCTTAAGTGAATAATGGTGCATGAATCCCCATTAACTTTATAAAAGAGGTTATATAGCCAAGCCCAAACCTAGCATCTCAGGCTTTCAGCTTATTCAGGTTGGCCTGAATACCTAAATTGTTAAATATTTTTTTATTTTCTTTTTTATTCAATTCCAATTTTTATCTTAAAAAATTAAGATTTTCAAATGTTATCTAATTTTAATTTTATTTTATTTATAACAAGAAAAAAAGCATTCGGTTATTTGGGCAAAAGTCTATTCTAGTTTGAGCTTGGCTTGGATTTCTTTGGGCTTATTCAGTTAACATCAAGTTATATTAATGAATTAGGGAAGGTTAGAGCTAGTAATTTGGATCAAACCCAACGTACGGCTAGCTTGAATAAGCTCAAAAAATCTTGTGAATTCTTTTTTTTTTTAGAATAATCTGACTATGATAGCACACATTAGTCTCTAACAATTCTTAGAATACATTTGATTTTATAATCAAAGAATGTTGTATTTCCAAGTCAAGTAAATTCATACGTCCTTTGCACAGAGGAAGTGGGGCAATAATATGTGGCCTTGGTATCTTATCCAACAAATTGATAAGTGCAAACATATCTTTTCCAACATTGTAAATGCGGGTAAAGAATTTCTTGTATGCTTCATTGTTACTTTCATGTAATGTTAATTAACCTAATTCCAATCACTTTCTCTGGCAACATCACAGCTAAGCCCATTTATTGGTTTGTTGAATCAAAGGCTCTCATAATAACAAATGAAATGTATGTGTTTCATCAGTTGGATTATTTGATCAAAATAATAGGGTGAGAGTTGTAAGTTGTAAAATCACTTTATGTATAGAAACAATGGGAAAAAGTTAATTTTGTTTGCGTGATAAAATAAAAAATAGACCAGAAAAACATAAAAACATATAAAACCAATATTTAACGTGAAAAGAAAAGAAAAGAAAATTATATTTAACTACTTATTATTAGAAATACGTAAGAAAATTCAGAGCAGTTTTGACAATTCAATTTGTAACTCTGCTATTATATGATATATATATATATATATATATATCCCTTTCTTATGGCTATGATGGAAAGGCATGGAACATAATATGGTAAAAAGATACCTTGATCAATTCCCTCTACAAGAAATATACTACCAAAGGTCCTTAAAGTGATTAGAATTTAAAGATTATCCAAATGCCTTTGGCTTTAAAGTTGATTTTCATGCTTCCCACTTAAAATTTGAAAGGTAGGTTGCATATTATTTTTCAACAAGCTACAATTTGCAAGAAAAATCCTCAGGTTGACAGCTGTATTTGAAGTTATATTCTTATGGAAAATGGAATAATTCCTTGTTAATTGGATCACCTTAATTTGTCGACCTCGATCACCTATGAGAGGCCAATAGAATTGATGTTCGTGATGTTGGCTGATTTTTTTTTTATTTTTTTAATATTCTTCCATTGTTTGTTTCCGGCTGACTCTATTGGGACTTGTGTTTATGGTCCATCAATTTGAATGGTTATTTCTTCGGCCAAAAAAATGACAGCCAACATGTTATTTTTTAAAATTTTATATTATAACCACAAACAATCAAGCCCTTTCCCTGTTGTCGATCTTTGGTCATTCTTCAATTCTTTTACTACAACTGCTTTCTTTCATTAATAAACTAAATATGCATTTATCTTGAGTCTATACGAAAAAGAAAAAAATTAAGGCTTTTAAATGCTATAAGTCGTGAGTGATCATGACATTCTATAAAAAAAGACCATGAAATCCTTGCTTCATATGTCCTACAAATTTAATTAAAAAAAAAGAAAAGACCATAATGTTTTTGCTTTTTAGATAAGTTCGCATAAAGAAATACAAATTTTATTAAAAAAAGGCCATAATGGTTGTCTTACTTTTCTATGCCGATGCATAATTTCTAAATCTAGTCAATTCATATGCGTAGAGAAAATGGCACAATAATAATGGAGGAATAAAAGGAATTTATATATATTTAAGTCATTCCATTCCATTCTAAACATTAAAGTCGTGTAGAAAAAAAGTACACAATAGTAGAAGTCTTCCCATTACTGAAGTCAACAAGGGGGAAAAAAAAAGCCCATAATGGTTGTCTTATTTTTCTATGCCGATACATAATTTCTAGGTCCGGTCAATTCATATGCGTAGAGAAAATGTCACAATAATAGTGGAGGAATAAAAAGAATTTATGTATATTTAAGTCATTCCATTCCATTCTAAACATTGTAGAAAAAAGTACACAATAGTAGAAGTCTTCCCATTACTGAAGTCAACAAGGGGGAAAAAAAGACCATAATGGTTGTCTTATTTTTCTATGCCGATACATAATTTGTAAGTCTGGTCAATTCATATGCGCAGAGAAAATGGCACAATAATAGTGGAGGAATAAAAAGAATTTATATATATTTAAGTCATTCCATTCCATTCTAAACATTAAATTCGTGTAGAAAAAAAGTACACAATAGTAGAAGTCTTCCCACTACTGAAGTCAACAAGGGGAAAAAAAGCCCATAATGGTTGTCTTATTTTTCTATGCCGATACATAATTTCTAAGTCTGGTCAATTCATATGCGTAGAGAAAATGGCACAATAATAGTGGAGGAATAAAAAGAATTTATATATATTTAAGTCATTCCATTCCATTCTAAACATTAAAGTCGTGTAGAAAAAAAGTACACAATAGTAGAAGTCTTCCAATTACTGAAGTCAACAAGGAGAAGAAGAAAAAAGAGCTATTAATCATGACAGTCCATCTTTTAAGACGGTGTCCACATTTTTCTTTCGCCAAGCCAATTCAATTAGGTACTCATATCTTGGAAAAAAATTACACAATAATGGAGAATCTGTTTTTGGTCATCTAAAGCAATAGATTCCATGTTATAAATTGAATAGTTAGTATATTATTTTTTGGTCGAGTTCAAATATTTCAAATATGATTTTATAAATTGAGTAAAGTAAGTGTTATTTAAAAAATAACCATAGTTGAAATAATAATAATTGTTATTTTCAATTTATAATGCATGTGTGCATTTGTTAAGCAGTGCGAACACTTTATTCTATTCTTACCATATAAGACATCATAGGATGATTAATTTCTCGTGTCAAATTTAATATGATAGTAAAGATTTTTACTTAATTCCTTGGATATTTCTATTTCTTTAACATATTGGCTTTTGCAAGCAATTTTTAACCACCAATGCTTATGAGTTATGATTGTACTCCAACAAGTTAATAAATACACTAATATAATTAATACTCCCTATGTCCCTATTGTGGGGCACCTTTAAAAAAGGATTCTTTGGTCCTTAATACAAGGATAATGGATGGTTAATTATTATTTTTCAATTTTACCATGTTAGAAATTTAATTTTATGTTTCATCGTATATTGTATATTTCTCTCTTCCTATTTTTAATAGGGGTGAATTTGAATTTTTTCATTTTAAGAGCTATTTAATGAGTTAATTATCATTCTTTAGTTTCAATGAAGTAGTTGAAAATGTCTTATAATGGAACATACATTGTCAATCTTGCACAAGGCTACAATTTGTATGAGGATTATTTAATTTCTTTTACTGTGTCTAATAAATCCAACTATTATTTTTTGAATTATATTTTGGGGTACTTAAACATTTTTTATTTAATGTTGACTAGTTAACTCAATTTTATGAATATCTTTTTAAGCCTGGCAATTTTTTTGGGCATGGACTTTTTGTAGTTATGTAAGTGTTTATATATGTGTGTGTGTGTGTGTTATGTAAAATAAAATAAAAACCTTTTCCTTCCATTGATATCTCCCTGTCAAATTCAATTTTTATTTCCAGTATCAAATGGTCCTTATTTCCAACAAATTGAAGAATATGCCAATTCGGTGTCATTTCCAAACTTTACTGCAGGCCCCACCATCCCAATATTATGACTCGTGGTGGTTACTGGTTAATACAAAGGTAGGTAATGTCACCTGAGTTGAGAAATTTCAATCACTGATCCACAGTTTTGAATGCATATATAATCATCAATCCTCTTTAAACGGTGTGCTTATGAATTTCTAAGAGCATATATATATATATATATGTGTGTGTATATATATAGTACAACCTTGGGCTCCTAACCACTTCATCAATCTAAGAAGCCTTGAAGCTATCCAACATGGCAAATCTTTGTTTTCATTTCCCCTTCCTCATGTTCTCCCTACTTTGTCTCAAGGTTTGTTTCACTTTATGCCACACCAATCTTACTATAAATGATGAGTTGGCACTACTTGCTTTCAAGTTTTCTATCAAGGACCCTCACAATCACTTGGCTAATTGGTCCAACTCTTCTTCCATTTGCAATTGGGTTGGGGTTATGTGTGATGCTCAACATGAGAGAGTAATAGCCTTGAATCTTGGGGAGATGGGTCTCAAGGGAACTTTGCCCTCAAAAATTGGGAATTTGTCTTTTTTGGTTGAACTTGACCTTCATAGTAATAACCTTTATGGTGACTTGCCAAAAGAGTTGATCCAATTACAGAAGCTACAAATTCTCAACTTGAGCTACAATGAATTCAATGGAGAAATTCCAACTTGGATTGGAAGCTTATTTATGCTTCAGCACTTCCATCTTCGTAATAATAGTTTTGGAGGTGTTATTCCTAAAAGCATATCCAATTTGTCAAAGTTAGAGACCTTGAACTGGAATGATAACTTTGTTGAAGGATTCATTCCATTTGAAATTGGAAAGCTTCAATGTTTGAAGATTTTACAAATTGCAGTAAACAAGCTTTCAGGAAGAATACCTCCAACTATTTCTAACTTATCCTCACTTGAGAAGTTGTCTTTGCCTTACAACTTCTTAACAGGTATGTCTTGCATAATGTGTTATTACCATTTCCTCTATTTTACAATGATATAATAGTTTATTTTTTATATGGAAATCCTTTAGCTTAATTTTAATGTAGATTTATGTGTGCCTTATTATCAAGCTCAGTTGATCTTCTTTGGGGTAAAATTTTCACTTATACTTGTCAGAATAAATTCATCAACAAACTTCTGTTAATTATCATTTTTCATAACCATTCCAGCTTTACGAGTATTCAAATTATCAAAGTTAGCACACATTTTGTGCATTTCATGGAACTTTGATGATACGTTTGATAATTATATATTTAAATTAACTTCACCTAAGCAAATTAATACATTTGATAATTATTTTACTGTTAACTTTGATGATATATTGGTAATAATAAAATATTCTTATTTCAAAAAGATAAATTGATCAAATGTTCCTTGAAATCCTCTTTTAGCTGGCTAGACAATTTTATGTTTTTAAGTTATCTATTTTTCAGAATTCTTTTGGTAGTTACGTTGTGAATTATTACTCATATAATATAATCTACATTTTACAACATTAAAAACTCATGTCAGAAATTTGCATATGCTTGTTAAAGGACGTGCATTAAGCATTCTTTTGTTTGTTTCCAGATCCAATTTTATGAAGAAAATCATATGAAATAACAATCGAATAAAGATTCTGATTGTGAAAAAGTTAACAAAAATTTTAGATCACCATGATGAAGGAAAATCTTCAAATGATTTCTGAGTCCCTATTCTATAAGCTGTACGAAGTAGGTATGATTATAAATTTGCGTATTCTTGTATAAAAAAGAAGAAGATCTGAGACAACTCAAACTGTCTGACTGTCAACATCTCATTATTTTTTATGTTATAAAATCATAGATTTTTATTAATAAAATGTCTATTTTTAGCACTAATTTGAGTATTCTATAGTCTGATTTCTTTTGTACGTTGGGTTAAGAGTCATTTTTGTTCCTGAACTGTAAAGAGGTCACAAATGATTCTAAACTCAATTATGAGTTAATTTTGTCCCTCAACTTTAAAGATTCCTTCCGCCATCACCCTATCGTTTTCTCATCATTAGTTGACCACTAGTGGCCCTGCATTATATATATATATATATTTTTAATTTTTTTATAAAATATTTGAATTGAGGGGAAAAAATGCATCTTAGAGTAGAAGTTGAGGGGCAAAAATGACCCTTAACCTGATAAAAATATTAAAAAATAGTGGAACCTATTGATAGCTAACGGATATTAAGTGTTTTTAACGCTAATGTAATGGAAGGAATCTTTAAAGTTAAGGGACAAAATTGACTAATAATTGAGTTTAGGGGCATTTGTGACTTTTCATGTATAGTTCAGGCAAATGACCCTTAATCCTAGTATATTTTAAGGTTTCTATGCTCTTAAAAATATAGGGCACCAGTTGTTAAAATATATGCACATATCTAACTATTCAAATAATGAAACAATATTGTCTCACTATTTCTCTCAATTTTTGTACTGTAAGGGTTTTGACAAAAAACCCATCGCAAATGAGGATTTGATTGGTCACACTAAACAGAGTTCAAATTAATGGATGCGTATCAAGATACATCAATTTTCTATTTCCCTTTTTTTCTCTATTGGGTTCAAAAGTTTTGTCTTCTTTGTTGCTTATTTCTTTTATTATGACCTTTTTACTATACATAGACTCTGAAAAGAAAAAGTCCATTTTAGCGGATATTGCAGGATTGGTTTATTCCAAAAGACAATAGTCAAACTAATAAAAGCATCATAGTTCTATCAAAAAAAAATTTTATTACCATATAATATCAACTATTTTTAAAATTTTCAAAGTTGGTCACTTTATGGTCATACTTTACAGTCTGATAGCATATCTTCATTTTTTTTCAATGATCACATCCCAGTAGATATTCTCAATATAATTAGTGATTTGGCAAATTTGAACATAATATTAAGTGTTAATCAGCTTTATAGTTGCATACCAAAAGCGATTGCAAATTTGATTACACTTCAAGGGTTCAAACTTCAAGGCAATGACTGATTAGTAATTTTGTTGATAACTCTAAACATTATTGTTTGGTTGCATGATATAATTACAATAATTAAGTCTATTTATTTAAGATAGATAAATTAATCAGATTTTATTCTGTGTTATATTTCTTTGAGTTTGTTGTATCTTTTCATGTCATGAGTTGGTATATAGATGATAAATATTTCACATCATGACATTAAAAAACTTATTCTAAACATGCATGTGAGGACGAGAGTAATTTTTATTTTTATATAACGTGAGAAAATTTATCTCAAAAGTTGTTAGTTATTGTTATTATTTTCTTTTTCTCAGAACTAATTGTTTTTACACAGATCTCAAGGTGATTTTATTATTTTCTAACCTTATGGTCCATCTAGGTTGTGACTTATTTCTTATAATTTAACTTATCACAATTCAACCCTTATACTTTCTTTGTCTTCTCCATTCATCCCTAATTTTCAACAAGTAATTAAGTCCTTAGTAACTCATCCCATGTGGCACCTATGGTAATTAATAGTATTGCATTGCTTAGTTGACAGTCTTATTATTAGTGCCACATTAGATAAAATAAAATGAGAATGGTTATTCTTTTTAAAAATGTAAACTAAATAAATATTGCTAGCCAAAGACAAAGCAAAGCACAGAAGCAAATTAGACACAAGAACCTATTTGTTTCCAGTAATTATTTAGGTCAATTTTTTGTAATTATCTAGGTTTTTTCCTATAATTTTTTAGGTCATTCTCTATAATGTTTTTAGTCAGTTAATCATTAAATTACAAAATATTTAATGGGGGAAAGACATTGCTTCACTTTTAAAGTATGGAGGCAACATTGAGCCACCCTTGATTTGAGGGTGCTCAATAAGCACCTAAAAAAAAAAATTAAGGAGCAAATTAGCACTTTAACTCTTAAAAATAAAAACAC